TAATAATAATAATAATAATAATAATAATGATAATAATAATAATAATAATAATAATACTGATATTAATAATTAAAGAAAGGAAAAGATATTCATAAGAATAGAATAACATATCAATAATGGTGATAATGAAGATGATAACGATGGTTATATTTGCAATAATGACGATTAACTTAAATTTGCCATACTTATAATTCAAGAAAAAGAATAATCGTGACTGATATAACATGATAACTATTAGCAACATTTAAAAAGTAGAAAAATATTTTTGCGGTTATCAGTAGCAATTACAATCCGTGCAATGATAATCGTTTATTTAAAGTGATAATGAAAGTTATGATGAAAAATTTTAATCAAATATATATAATAGAAATCATTATTTATTCATTGCATAAAAATTTATTCCAATTTCCAGTTTTTTTTTCGAATTGAAGAAAAAATAACCCTTGATATTTACCAAAAACAAAATTTATGATTCAGATCGCCAAAATTAATGATATATTAATGATGTGATGATGATTATTTGAATATAATTATTAATACCAAAAAAAGAAATGATAATCTCAGGCTGGGAAGGGGAAATCAAAAAAACCTCAACCGAAAATATTTTTTACCGAAAAATTAAAATGAATCGAAAAAAAATGATAAATGAAAAACAAGTGTAAAATGGGTAATTGAAGATAATGTACGAAACATGTTGGAACATTATTATCAATGTGTAATGATAAAAATTAGTATTATCACCGTTTATTGATAAAATTGCTCCTCTTTTTTTACAAGTATAAAAATTTCTATGATATTAGTATGACAGTAATAAAGAAAACAAGTAATAAAGTGTTTCTTGAAAAAAAAGTAGAAATTTTCATAAACGTCTTGAAATTCTTCAAAAAAAAAATTTATTTTTCATTTTTTTTGAAGCTATTTAATACAAACAAAACGAATGACTTAAATAATGGTGATAAATGAAGGCGAAATTGAATTCATTTAGTGATATGATAGGATAATTCTTCCGCTATATTAATGAAATTAAATGGAAATTAGTAAAGGAAAAAGGATAAGAATTAACTTAAAGAAAGTTTTTTGCAACCAAAACATATGAAATTATGAAAATTAAATACTGCATAGAAATCAAAATTTGTAATTCACCGAAAAGAAAGGAATGGAAACTTTTTAAAAAATATAATTTTGAAAACTGAAGAAAAAGTAAGAGTGCAAATTGGAAATAAAAAATAAAGAAAAAACAAAACTAAAAGATAAAATGAAAAGTAAAATGGTGAAAGGAAAATGTGACGTGGTGACATATTTTACGAGGAAGTTAATTTTGAAAAGGACGACTAATTAATAAATTAGTTAATGACTACACTCATTTCCTCGTTTTTTAATTTTTTTGTTATATATTGCTGAAATATTTCACATAAATTTTTAATAAATATATTTAAATACTAAAATAATTTGCCAACATTGAACAATTTCCTACCAATAATTTACATTTTATTTTTTGTTTATTTTCCGCCCATTAATTTCATTAAATTTTGCAATTTTTTTTTTAATTCACCGACTAAATGTTACAAAATAATAAAAATGTTTTACTGAAAAAAGAAAATTTTTATTTTTATTTGTTACTTTAAATATTATCAAATGATTGAAAGATTTTCAACTAAGAAAAAAAACACTAAGTTGGTGAAAAAAATAAAAATTTTTGTTCCTCAACTTTTCTTACACTCATTTATATTTCCCAAATTAGTTGTATTATATGTCAAGTGTAAACTTCAATTCACGTGATATGAACAAAACATAATTACATGTTAATTACACGTTTGTTACGTGTTAAATTAGATTTTAGGATTGATTTTACTATTTATTTATTCATTTATTTTTTGTTTTTTTGGGTTTGAGTAATAATTACTTCAAATTCAACTAATGAAATATTAAAATCATGATTTCTTTCCCTTTATGCATATTCTCTTTTGTTGATCTATACGGTAGTCTTGATAAGAACGTTGATTTAATCTACGAGAAATTTCTATCCTAATTTGTACAGTCTTGCAGTAATTTTCTACAGTAATTTCTATAACCGAAATTGTGAAAATTTCAATGAGATCAATTCAGGAAAACAATATTAGGCAATTCATCAATGCGATGATTATAAACAATAAAAAAAAGACACTGAAATATTTGACGATCAAAGATTAAATGATGTAAAAACTTTTCAAAAAACAAGATCACAAAAAATTTCTTAAAGGAAAAAAAATGAAGGCGACAAGTATTTTAATCATTTACCTGCTGATTCACATGGCAACAGATACGGCTTGTGATTAATTTTTTTTTTTTTTTGCTAATTAAAGCTTTTATTCATATTGCTTTTTGATATTTCGTAATATAAGCTAATGAAGTATAAGCATGCGTTTATTGCCATTTAACTTATTGAACTTCCCTAAAGTTTACCTGCACTTTATTAAAATTATTAATTAAAAAATTTAAACTTAAAGCTGTGAAATTAAAATTTCATATGCTATTTATGGTTGCTTGAGAAAAGGAAAGAAAAAAAGGTTGTTGCAATATGTTATTTTAAAAAAAAAAGAATTATTATTTACAATAAAATTTTTAAAAAAATTGCTTAAATATTGCAAATCAATAACAAAATCAATTAGGAAGTCAAAAAAAGGCTGAATTTAAACGAAAAAATTCATTTATGCCAAGAACTAGAAAGTAAAATTTAGCAAAAAAATAGAAATCCATAATTAATAGGGAAAATAAAAGTATGCAGAAATTTTACGAATTCCAATTTTCCTTTCTAAATTCTTTTTTTTTTAAAAAGAAAGGACAGTTCTAATTTAATTTCAAAATTTTGCAAAAATCCCTTTTCAAGCAATATTTTAACATTTTGCAGAAACTCTTTTTCAAATAATTCCAGTCTTTAAAAATTTTCCTTCAGATAATTTAGTAACATGGAAAAATTTTTGAATGCAAAATTTAAAATTCAAAAAATTTATTTGCCACTGAATAATTATTATCATCTACATTGAAGCAAACCTTGTTATTATTAACAAATTGATTAACAAATTATCATCTAAAATATTACCGTAAAAAAATATTGAGCTTCTCGTCGTCATATCGTTTGTGTGAATTTCGAATGAAATAATCGTTTAATTAAGTTTAATTAAAATTGAATTTCCCAATTAATAAAAATAATTTGTTGCAAGCATATACATATGCCACGATTATTTGGAAGAAAAGAAAAAAATTCTGGCATTAAATTTTTCAATTTGTTTATTTCATTCATATTTAAAAAAAAAGAGCAAATGACATCATTGACATGCAAAGTTTGTTGAAATTGTCAAGGGGAAACGAAGCTATACACATTTGGAATCCTCCATTTCTTTTTTTCAAATATGAATTTCATTTCCAATAAATTATTACATCGTTTAAATCCGCAAAAAAAAGCATATGACACATATTTGTTAATGCTCGAAATTTTAACTAAATATATTACTGCAACAAATATATTCAAATATATCGAGAAAAGTTTCAGATTTAGTTGAACTAATCAATAATTTTAATTTCATCCCATCTTTCTTGTCACCTTCACTTTCATCATTAAATCATTTGTTTCCCTTTTTTTCAGATTATTTTTATTGATTTCATTTTCTATTACGAAATTGTAAAAATTGGTAATTAAAATTCGAAAAGATTTTTGTGAAACTTTTTCTACTTCAAAATGTATGGAAAAAGTCGTCAAAAATTCAATTTTCCCAATGTTTTCTTTTTTGTTTGATTTTATTTTATTAGAAATAAAATTGCAAATGGAATGAAAAGGAAATCAAATATACTTATCCTTCAATTATGCTTGTTAATATCTGAAAAAAAAAGAGAGAAAATTGATGGCATAATTTGGCTTATTAATTTAGATTGATTTTGAAATGCATGCATGTAATTATTGGCATATGTCTAATTGCATTTTTATTTATTGCTCTAACAAATTACTTTGTTAAAATTAAATTGAAATAGCCATTTGTCGTATTTGAACTCATGGAAAAATGACGTCAGGAAAAAGCAGAAAATTATAAAAAGACTGTTGGATTGTTATTTTGATTTCGTTTTTTTTTTTTATTTTTTTATTTTCCGTCGGATTATTTGTTTTTTTTTTCTTTGTCATTAAATTTAACAAAAAGTATGCAGAAATCATAACGATAAATTCACTTTCATATTCATAAAACTCACGTTAACCTATGATAATTCACATGTCAACTCATGATAATCACTTTCAGACATAGATAAGCCATACATAAATTCAAATGTATGATTGTTAACTTACGTGTATAGTATGTGTATACATAAATATCAGCAAGTATGAAATCATTATCTCATGTATTCCTACAAATTTTTGCTCGATTAATCCTAATGCTATGATATATTCATGCACTACTGATAAGTATG